TTTTATTGATATTTTGTCTTTTAAAAAATCTACATTATTACTGAGAGCTATCTGGCCTTGACTTCTCTTTCCTCTAAACCTTCTCGCTGTAGCACTGTTAACAGTTCTTTACACCTTTTTCCAGACATCTTTTCCAACTTACAGAAATTTATGTGTACTGTTTTTGGTATCAGTTATGTCTCTAGCAGTGACATTGCTCCGTGAGTGTTAATTGAATGACTGAAATATTCTGTGCAGTGGTACTGTTGGCTGCTTTGTCATTTATAAAGGCTCAGTTCTGGGACGAGGTATGGCACAGCGTGGTGAGTGCCTTAGCTATATAAGGACCTGGGTTCAGTTCCCAGCACCAAAACAAGCAAATGAAAAGCAAGGAAAAAAAGAACCAGGGAGGGTGGGGAGATAGCTCAGTAGAATAAACGCTTGCCTGGTAAGCTTAAGGTCCTGAGTTCAATCCCCAGTACTGCAAAAAAAAACCACCCAAACCCCCCGAAAAGGCTTAACTCCTTGTCTTCTCTTCTTAATGTCAGAGTGAACAGTGATGGCATCAACATGCCGCGACTCATTATAAATCAATTCAAATGGCTCGACAGGATTATAGACGGCAAGGTAGGTTTTAGGGCTTCATCTGTTACTTAGATTGAAGAATAAATAAAAAATTCATTAGTTTTTCAAAGTGCAGTAATTGCTGTGTTTGTCTTTTGTTGTTGTTGCTTGAGACAAGATCTCACTACACATCAGTCTGGCCTTGATATATATCACAGACTGGGTTCAAACTTGCAGTGCTCTTTCTGCCTCAGCCTCTGTAATAGTGAGATTATGGGCTGTGTTTATTATTTTATTTGTCTTTTTTTGAGACAGGGTCTCACTATACAGTGCAGCCTGGCCTTGAGCTCACGTTAGCCCAGGCTGGTCTTGAACTTGCACCAGTCCTCCTGCCTTAGCCTTCCAACTGTTGGGATGTATCTGTTTCTTAAAAGTGATGATTCCACACCGTCTTACTTCACTGCAAGTGGCTTAATTTGATTATGTATTTAGGAAAACTATAGGGAATTTTCACTATTAATGTGATTTGCTTCTTAAGCATTTTTTTTTTTTTATTTTTTTATTTTTCAACAAATAATACACTGCATATATTCTTCTTAGTGGTTAATTGCTGTACAAGATGCGGACTTGTGATCCTATTTACAAACACCATTAGAACAAATCATTCTATTCATTAACAGAATGTAACTATATATCTATCCCAACCACTTTGAATACACAGATACAAAATGGACATTCATCTGTATACCCCATTTTTTCTAAGTTCCATTATTGAATATTATAGATGTGTAAACTCAGCAAAATATTCTAAAAGAGTCCAGTAGCCCATAATAGCATTGGGTCTTCTGTTTAACTGGCAATGTCAGAAATTATTGACCTGAGTCCCCCACAGCTCAACTTAACAGCATGGCTTTATTTCTTATAATTTCGTCTTCATACTTTTCTGCTGGATGGTTAAGACCAAGGTAAAGCAGGACCTATGCAACAAGAGTTGTAGCTTTTTGGTCTGAGAAGGTCAGTGAAATGCCCTTAGGATTTGTCCTGAGATCCTGTACCTCAGATTGTAGAACCTTTATCAGTGCAGCCATGTGGATGAGTCACGGCCAATGCTTGGCCAATGTGCTCTCTGTAAAAGCCTGAGAGAGTATTTCTCCCCATGTGACTCTCCTTAGGTCCACTCTATGTCATTGATCACTTTCCTCTTTGGCCCCATAATCTTCTTGATCAGAAAATTTGGGACACTACCGAGGTACATGACGTTACAGTACAAGTTCTCATATGTCCTGAGTCTTAATTGACCTTAGAAGGCTAGGGCCAAAATGTTGGCTTTCCTTGTATCCCTCCTTTTTCTCTAATTTTGGTCTGCAAACTTAGGTTGTTAACCATTCTTAAGCATTTTGGTAAATTTGGATCTGTTATGAGTCAAAGTGGTTTAGGCCCATTTATTTTAAGGACTTCTAATTTTGTCAGGCATTTTAAGGTTAAATCATTATTTGAAAGAATCTTTGAAGATTTAGAATCTCATTCTGTCTGGAATTTGGGGTTTGCTGCTTAAATGTGTGTCCTTGAGTACTTCATCCCTGTATTTTAAAAATGAGAATAGTCAAAGCTTAAGTGGGTAGAATATCTAGATAATATATGTAGCAGAACCTATTAAATAATATACTGTTCATGCTACTTTTTTTTCTGTTTTCTATATTGCATGAAATTTTTGAGTCCATTTGCTCCTTAATGTAGGTTTTGAGCTTGATTCTGTATTTGTCTCATTATGTGGGAAACAAGTTGGGCTCTTTATGTCATAGAAGGTAGTGTTCTCTGTTCTGGATATTGTGCTGGCATTCTGATAATGTCTTCCTCTGCAGGACCTCACTGCCAAGATCATGCAGCTGATCAGCATCGCTCCAGGGTGCTTGCAGCATGACTTCATCACCAGCCTTCCTGAGATCCTTGGGGACTCGCAGCATGCCGATGTGGGGAAGGAACTTGGGTAAGCAGTCTGGTGCTATACTATTAAGGCTGCTGTATGAAAATAGTAATGAGGTTCTTTATGTATAAAAAGAGCATATACTTGCCTCCCATGGGTAGGCTGTGGAATTTGATGTGCATTTCTGACCACAGGTTGATATTCTAACATACCCATCTGCTTGTCTTAGAATCCATCACCCTCATGCTCCATCTCACTATTATGTGCTTCACATGCATCTGTCTCACGTAGGCTTCATGGAACTGTTTTGGACTTTCTTTTCCTCAAGAAGGCTATATACCAAACTCAACATTAGTGACTTCTCTGTAGTGAGAATGGTGAAGAGGGGGTTCTCATTTTTACTTTATTTGAATTTTTCTAATTAGCACTTATGGGCTGCTCAGTGAAGATATAGCTCAGCACTGGAGAGCTTTACTAGCATGCATAAGAATGAATTTAACCCCAATACTACTGAAAAATGTGGATCTAAGGAGCATGTATTTTTTATGTCACGAAGACAATTTTTAGTGAAGTTCAGTATAAATGGTATAATAGACATTAAGTATAGTTGGCTTGAGTATCTGCAAGTTTCATTCCTTGGATTCAAAGAACTACAGATCAAAAATATTCAGAAAAAATATTGTATCCATATTAATATGCAGGCTTCTTTTCTTGTCATTTCATAATTGATACGGTATAACTTTATAGAAGATGTACATTATGTGTATATTAGGTGTTATAAGTGATCCAGAGGTGATTTAAACTGTAAATGAGAATATGTACACTGCTATTTTGTATAAGAGATTTGAGTTTTTGTGAATTTTATTCGTTTTATGGGAGGTGGAGTATGTGTTGACCAGGATATTCTGGAACTTGTGAGCTCAAGCAATCTCCCTCTGCGGTCTCCTGAGGTCATAGGTGTGTACCGCCATACCTGGTTTCATCTAAATCTTGATGTCCATGGGGGTGTCTTAGAAGCAATTCACTGTAGACTCCGAGGAGCAACTATATCCTTTCTTCCTGTACTCTAATGGGTGATTTTTCTCAAGTGTTTATCTACTCATCTCTGTTCCAATATTCACAGTATCCTATTGGAGGAGAGTACTGAGCTCACTGCCCCTATCCTGGATGTCCTTTCCAGCCTCCAGCTTGACCCTGACTTCCTGTCAAAGGTAGGAAAGGCACTGCTCTCCAGAAACAGGGCCAGCTTTCTGACTGGGACACTACATCAGTCACTACTTTGGGAGAAGTCATGTGTACTGAAAATTACATTTTAAAAATATACTGAATGACATTTGAAATTTGTTTTATTTTTAATGGATTATTATATCCTATACTGTTAAAGATTTACTGCTTGCATTTGTATTTTCTCTCTCTCTTTTTTTGGGGGGGGCTGTTGTGTGTATTGAACCCAGGAGTACTTTATCACCAAGCTACATCCCCAGCCCTTTTTATATTTATTTATTTATGTGGAACTGGGGATTGAACTCAGGCCCTTGCACTTGCCTTGCAAGTGCTTATTTACTGAGCTATCTCCCCCGCCCCTTTATTTTTAATTTTGAGATAAGATCTCTTTAAGCTGTCCAGTGAGGATCAGACTTTCAACCCTCCTGCTTTAGTCTCCTCAGTAGCTTGAATTAAAGGTATATTTCACTATACCTGGCCACTGGTCTGCTGTGTTGTTTTGTTTTGTTGAGACAGGATCTTGAACTTGAGCAGATCCTCCTGCGTTAGTCACCCAAGCACTGGGGTTATAGGCACACACCACCATGCCTGGCCTTGGTCTGTTTTTAAGTAAAATATTTTAATGAAATGTTTTATATTGCCTGAATATTTATTAGCCCCTATAGGAACAGCACTTTTTTAAATGCCTTCATGTAGCTAGGTGAAAATCAAAATTCCAAAATCTAGCACAATAACACTGTTACTTTTATCACCTGTTTGGAAAGCTTTGGCATTAACAAGTGTTGGTAATTTGGGGAAAAAACAAAAGATGCCTTTCTTTCTAAGTTACAGGTTTTTCTAATTTTGTCTAGCATTACTGGGTCGAGTAGTGACAATAGAAATTTAAAGTTTTTGTGCTTTTCATTTTTAGGTCCGCCAATTGGCAATGCGTAAGCTGGACTCATTCAAACTGGATGATCTCCCTGCGATAATCAAGTTTGTTCTTCATTCTATAACAGTCACTAATGCATTTGAGGTATGCTATTATGAATTACCAGACTATCCAGTTTGGTGGTGATTGCCTATAATTCCAGCACTCTGGGATCCTGAGGCAGGAATATCACAGGCTTAAGCCCAGCCTGGACAATTTAGTAACTTAGTGAGAACCTATCTCAGAATTTAAAAAGAGTAACTGTTGTAGCTCACTGTGAAGATCCTGGGTTCCAGCCACAGTAACACACACAAACAAGGAAAAAACATAACACTTAGATAAAGATATATCAGGATAAATTATTTAAATTAATTGTTTGTTTGGTATAGGGTCTTGCTACATAGCCTGTCTCAGCCTCCCCAGCACTGAGCTTACAGGCATGTGCCACCATGCCCAGTTTTGGGCAGGCAAGGCATGCCATACCTGGGATCGAACCCAGGTCCTTGTGCTTGCAGGCAGGCATTTAGATTGCCAAGCTATCTGACTCCCAAATTATTTAAACTAATAGGTAGAAATTGTTCTTCTCACTGGGCGTGATGGTACATGCCTATAATCTGAGCTCAGGAGGCTGGGGTATGAAGATTGCCACAAGTTCAAAGCCAGCCTGGGCCTTACAGTGAGTTCAAGGCCAGCTTGAACTACATAATGAGACTCTCAACAAACCAAAGGGTAGGAACAGGTGGATACCTCAGAGGAATATGGGCCTGTCTGGCAAGCAAAAGGTCCTTGAGTTTGGTCCCTGGCTCCAAAAAACAAACCAAAGGATACCCAACACCTGAGGGGCTGAGACAGGAGGATCACTGGGAGTTCAAGGCCAGCCTGGGCTACAAAGTGAGTTCAAGGCTGACCTGAACAAACTGCCTAGTAAACCCTGCCAAAATAAAAGCACAACAGCAAAGGGAAAAAAATTGTTTTTCCTCAAATTGTTTTGCCCCAGACAAATTAATAATGTTGGTAATTATTAATAATGTTAATGAAGATAACTTTCAGGCAGTGGTATTGCTAGTCAAATTGCTTTTTCTGTATTAGCTGCTATAAGTTATATTTGCTAATGCTATAGAGTAGGCCCTCAAGTGATTATACAGTTGGGGATGTGACATACTAACGTTAATCATTCTCATCAACTCCCTTTCAAAGTGATCTGTCCAATGTCTAAGTTGGACATTTCAGTCCTTGAGCCATTGTTATGGTTCTTTTTAGGAAACGAACTGTTGACTGTCCACTAAGAATAGTAGAACACATGGCTAATACTTTCTTTAGGTAATCTCTGAGCTTCGAGGGAAGTTGAATCTGCAGCATTTTACTTTGCCATCATTACAGCCTTCACAAATCAATTTGAAGAGAACAAGAGGAGCAAGGTATGAAGCTGTTGGGCAATTGCCATCCTTTTTCTTGCATAAATGAGAAGAGTTCTGAAATTTGTCCTAGAGTCAGGATACATAGAGCTTAATACTTGCATCTACAAATAATGGTAGTAATAGTACATTCGCAAGGTCTGGGGATGTAGCTCAGCAGCATAAGAACTTGCCTGGCAAGTGAAAGGTCCCAAGTTCAATCCCTGGTACCACACAAAAAAAAGTACTTTACATACAATTTTTATTTATTTATTTTTTATGAGCAGAATATATTTATTGAGGGAAAGAAAGCTCCTGTTCAAGAGAGGGACAGGAGGGGGGAATTTTTTTTTTTTTTTTAAATCAGGCATGTGTGTCTGTGTCTGTGTCTGCCATTCAGATTAATCCCAAGTTAATGTAAGCTTTTGGCCATTTTATTTAAGAGGGTATGACTTGCTCCAGGATGCATGGCTAATAAGCAGAAACCGAGAAATTGGGGCCAGGGAGTTGGCTCAGTAGGATAAGCGCTTGACTGGCAAATGCAAGGATTTGCATCAATCTCCGGTTATGCCAAAAATAAAAAGAAAACCCACAAATTATAAGTTCTCTGATAAGTAGAAGAAATAATTTTTTCCTTTCTTGCTACTTGTAGTTCTTCAGGAAATCAAGAAAGTAGCTATCCGGACTATGCTACACTCATCTTCGATGTAATAAAGTCAGCTGTTAGATATGAGAAAGCTATATCAGAAGCCTGGGTTAAGGTGAGTTAGAGCTGGATGTGATGGTGCAAGCTAGCAGCTCCGCCCTTCTAGAGACTGATGCAGAATTGAGACTTCACAGCCAGTGTGGGCTACAGAGTGTGACAAACAGCAAATGAGGTGGGTTGGGCTGAGTCTGGATGGAAGCTGTCCAACAGAAGTGGTCCTGGTGATGAAAAGGTGGACTCTCCATCGGGCAAGCAGGGCGTGACCTGCAGGTGTGGGGATCTGGACTACCTGTTGATGTGTCCTAATACTGCTGTGACCTTTGTTTTTCCAGGCAATTGAAACTGTTGTCTCTGGATCTGATCACTCGGTAATGTTCTTGTGCTCTGAATTTTAAGAATTAGATCCAGAGTAGTGACGCTGGTTAGCTTGCTGTCCTGTTCCATCTCCCTGCCTGCTACCAGTTTTTCTTTGTCTTTTTCTTTTTTTTTTTTTTCCCCCAGTCTGTCTTCTGTGCTTATGTAGGTGCTCTAATAAACGTTAGCTGCCAAGCCAGTTGAAGCGCCAAATTGTCCACTCTTATTCATTGATACCGTCAGGAAAGAAAGCCTGCAGCCTCTGGAAGGAGATGTGCCCTTTCCAGACAAACACATCACATTGCAGTAGAGAAACAGCATCCCCATGGCACCTGACTTGGGGGCCTGCTCTCTGGTTCCCCTTCCTCCCAGAGTTGTTAGCACAGCAGCGCTCCCTGCTGCACTTTATTCACCTGTGTGCACCTGGCCCAAGCAGACAAGGCTCCCTGCTGTTCACATGCTCTACTGAGAGGCCAGATTGGTAAAGGCGCTGTACACTAACTAGTTGCCACTCATGGTTGTTCTTTCATCAGAATCTGTTTTGTGGAATTTTTGTTAGTTGGGCTGTACGATTGTTGGATGACTATCTTAAATGCTTATGGAATAAAACAATGAAAAGAATATTTTTTTGTGTGGAGGTATAGCTCACCGCCACAGCTCCTGTCTGGCAAGTGTGAGGTTATGAGTTCGATTCCCATCATCAAAAAAAGAGGGTTTGGGCTGGTGAGATGGCTCAGTGGTCTAAAGCACCTACTTAGAACAAGCTTAGCAATGCACATGGGCCGCGGTTCAATCCCCCAGCACCACATGCCAGCCAGACCCACCCCCAGGCGGGCTGAGCTGGCCACATACACACACACAAATAAATAAATAAATAAATAAAAATAAAAAAAAAAAAGAGGGTTTTTTTTTTGTGGGGGGGATAATCAGAATAGCCTGCTTTTATTTTTTCATGAAAACGAATTGGCTGACTACTTTCACTCCTACCTTCACAGATTTATAATCATTATATAAATGTAATTTTGTATTCTGATTTTTTTCTCTTTACATTTTTTTTTCCCTCCTGTCATACAGTTTCACGTGCTTCCTTATTGTCTTCCACTTGGAGGGCTGGAACCCAGAGGCTTACATGTTCTCAGCAAGCCCTCTGTCAACCCCACCATTAATGGCTCAAGTAGACCCTATCTCAATATAAGAAGTAAAGAGTCAGAGATGCAGTTCAGTGCAAAGGCCCTGTGTTTGATTGCTAGTACCACAAAAATATAATTTATCTTTTGTGACTATATACTATTTCAAAACAATCCTATCGTAATTTAACCTTTCCTGTATTCATGAATATTTAGTCTTTTCAACTTTTCACAAGGCAATTTTCTTTCTTTCTTTTTTTTTTTTTTTTTTTTTTTTTTTTTTTTTTTTTTTTTTTTTTTTTGTGGAACCAGGGATTGAACTCAGGCCCTTAGCGCTTGTCTGAGCTATCTACTGAGCTATCTCTCCAGCCCCTGTCAATTTTCTTAATGATAGGGGAAAATATGTGCTGAAATTGGTATGTGATTTAATCTTTTGATAAATGATGTTTAAAATAGCTTTATTATGAATACTACTTTCACTTATATTTCAGTGCTTTCTCAAGAAATAACAGTAATAATAATTGTGGCATTATTTCTCTGGAAAATATTTCTGGATTTTGGGGGAAATGTAGGTAATCCCATGGGAATGTGTTAAACAAATGACTCAGTTCTGTGTTTCAATGGGAGTAAATTGAGAGCTACTGTTTTGTTGTGGAAAATCTACTGATGTTTTAAACTATTCTCCTTTCCATCCATATGACAGACTCTTGACGTGGTGATGCTCTTCATTATCTATGGCACCAGCCCTCAGACAAAGAAGTACATTGAGCGGGTGCTGAGAAGTAAGATTCGCTCGGGCTGCTTTGATCAACCACTGCTGGAGTCCACCTTCAGAGTGCACTTCCTGGTAATGTTCGGGAGGCCCCAGCGTGGCTATGAAAGATGGGCATTATGCCGACTTCTCCTGTCTGGGCGGAAATCCAGACAGTCCTCTTGCCGATTGTTCATCTTTGACAGGAAGCATAGCATGTTTCAAACTCTTAAATATTACTTAAATGTTGAATTGTCCTTAGCTTGATTGTGGAAGATTGATTTTCACATTTTTTGTAAGAAGTTACAGAATTGGCTCATGGGATGGAACCTGTGTCCTACACATTAACTGCATCCCCAGACCTTTTTGTTTTTTATTTTGAGATAAAAATGTTTCATTGAGTTGCCAGGTCACTCAGGCTGGGCTCAAACTCTCCATCTTCTGCCTCAGCCTCAAGTGCTGGGATGATAGGCATGCGCTACCATGCTGGCTCCATAACACCATAACACTTTTTTTTTTGAAGTGGGGGGTTATCAGGGATTGAACTGAGGATCTTGCACTTGCCAGGCAGGCACTTGTGCCACTGAGCTCTCTCTCTGGCCCTGTAACAATTTTAATTTTCTTCATCCTTTTCCCTTTTTATCTTTTGATAGCTTTCCCACTCAAGAAAGAGCTATTTCCTAGCTTCCTATTTTTTTTCCTCTTTATTTATAATTTGAGTTGGTAGTATAAGAGAAAGCATGTGATATTTAAGGTTGTGTGTCTAGTGGCTAGTTTATTTCACTTAACATGGTTTCAAGGTACGCCCATTTTCCTACAAGTGACTATCTATTTGGTATAGGGTCTTGTTATGCAGCTCAGACTTGTAGTGATCAGCCTCCCTAGTGCTGGGATTACAGGCATGAGCCACCATACCAGGTTTCAGTGGCTGGCTCTGCACTGACCTGGGGTACCAAAAATTGAACCCGGGTACTTGCGCTTGCCAGGAGGCGCTTAAACTATCAAGCTATCTCCCTGGTCCCTGACTTTATCTTTCATTAGAGTAGTACTCTGTTGTGCATAAATACATTTTCTCTTTCCATTCATATGTTGATGTGCATATAGGCTGCTTCTAAAATTTAGCTATTACAGACTGCTGCTGTAAACGGATGTATATGTATCACTGTAATATGATTTCTTTAACTCTTTCTGCAAAATACCTGGAAGGGGAAGAGCTAGGTGAAATGGATTTCTAGTTTTAGTTTTTGAGGACTCTGCATTCTGGTGTCCACAGTGGTTGCACTTGTTTTACATTCCTACTAACAGTGTAGAAGGTTCCTTTCCCCCCACAGCCTCTTCAGGCCATTCTTTCTAGAACAAGATGGAATCTCTGTGTTGTTTGGATTTGTATTTCTCTAATGACCAAAGATGTTGAGCATTTCTTCAAGTAATTATTGGTCATTTGTACTTCTGAGAAGTATTATCTGTTTGTTTCACTTCTACATTTTTTTTCTTTTTTTGGGGGGGAGGTGGTACCAGGGATTGAACTCAGAACCTTGCGCTTGCCAGGCAGGCACTTATTCCACTTAGCTATCTCCCTGGCCCACTTATAATTTTTTGATTGGGTCTTTTTATTAAGGAGGGTCTGGTGGAGTTTGTGTTTTTCTAATATTTATTATTTGTTCATATATTCCTGATACTAATCCTCTATCTGAGGAATTGCCAGCAGAAAATATTCCCATTCCATAAGTAATTTCTTCACTCTGTTGGTTGTTTCTTTTGCTGTGCAGAAGCCTCTTACTTTGATATGGTTTCATTTGTTGATTTTGGTACTATTTTTTATGTAACTGGAGTTTTGTTCAGCCTATACCTATGCCTTCAAAAACTGTACCAATTTTATCTTCCAGTAGGTTTTTTTTTTAATTTTTTTTTTTTTTT